AAGCTTGCTCACACGTCTCTGAATAGGTGCAACTGTGTGAGCCAGCCAGACTGCGTATATCTCGCTGAGAGACTACAGCCATAAAGCCAACCGGCAGAGTCTCTCAATGCTAAGGCTAACTGAGGCTGTGAGCTGGGCAGAATAGTTGCAGTACACATCATGAAATAAAGTGTCTCAGCTTTTCATTCAAGGATACTGTTCAGTTGTATTTGGAACATATTTAAACCTACCACGGCACTGCAAAGCTAGAGGAGGTATAGAAGATCTGCTGGAGTTGCACACTGGGGCTTTTCTGCTGTTCCAGCTTTGATGCTCAAAGAAAAGACCAAAATGGACTACTGTTGGGAAACACAGCAACAACTCTGTATGCTCCAACTATGAAAGCTTCCCCCCCTGCCCCATAAAACCATCCGGAGTCTTTTTAAAAGAGAATAGCCATTAATACAATTTGCAGCCAAAAGGCAGAACACTAATTTTAAGGCTGAAGGTACTGACTACTGTCCCTAATCTCGTTCTTAGCTTTGTTTTGCTCTCCACTTACGCTGAGTTGTGTAATTCTTTTCTGGATATTCTACGCCATTCTCAGGAGTCACTACTGGCATGGGCAGATCTGCAAAAGAAACAGGAGTGAAAGGCTCACAGTGCATTTCGAATTCTCATTTTAGCACCAGGAGATCTGGTATTATAGCTGTAGGATCAAAAGAGAATGTCTCCATCACCTTTACAAGGCAGTGAAAATAGGCAAACTCTATAAATGAGTACTATATATACACTATAATATATAGAGTGTACTATATGCACTAGAGAGATACTACATATAGTATATATACACTATATATACTATGTATACAGGAGCTATATATATATACACACACTATATATATATATATATATATGTATGTATGTCTACACATACACACACCTGTAATAGTGGTGGAGCCCCAAGGAGTCCAGGAGGTTACTGAGGTACCTCTGAACACCAGCTCTGTTTGGTTTCTTTCTGTAAGAGTAGTCAACAACTGTCAACATCTTCCCCTAGCTCCTGGTCACTGATGCCGATTCCCACAATGTGCTGTGTGATTGGTGGGGGACTATAAATTCAAATGAAACATAACCCCAAAATACAAAGTTTCCACAAGCAGACCTACTCTAGCCCAGGTCTGAATTCCCACATCCCACAAAACCAAATGGGAAATGACAAGCCCTCCCTGAAAACAACTGTCCTTGCTAAGATAGACTGTTTCCAATCAGGTCTGAAGCAGCTTTTGCATCACTTGTATCTGCTACTAGAGATACCAGCTCTGTCTCCCACTCTAGCGGCTTTCATTCAAGACCAGAAAACAAGCAAAAAAGGCCTTTAAAAAAAGAACAGAACCTAGACCATCCTGTATGACCTACAAGTTAGGAAATGGCATTTCTAGCAGGCCTAAGACACATACAGAGCCTCTCCTACAGAGACAAAGCCTCCCTAAGAGCAAGCTAAAAGCCCTCTGCAGACTGGAGACTGAGGAAAGGAAGATGTTCTAAGTTCAGAAACATCTGGATTAATAACTGAGGGGTATGGACTAAAATTCAATATTGTCAAGACTGTATTACCCAGCAACCAAATCCACTGCTAAGCACTGGTGTCAAACCCGCCTGCTGACTCCTCGTCCTTGCTGTCAGCCGTAACTGCTGTTAACCCGACCTGTGGTTGGGTAGCATCTCCCCAAGGTTCCCACATCACTCGGAGAGGGATATTGTGGGCAGATCTGCAAGGTGAACGAGAGAGAGGCTCACACGGGAGTTGGACCATGTTTGTGATGCTGCTGCAATACAGAATTCTCCACTGGTGGGCCAAGACCATGAGGAACCAGCCACCATCCAAGGACAGGTGGGGGACTGCGTGCTAGCAGCGTTGACAAGCATGGCCATCATTAATTCCTGTTCCGTTGCTGTACACTCTGAAGTGTGACTGCTATGAAAAACAACATATCGTTTCACCCATAACCTCCATTCCACTGGGAGCCCAGCAGGCTTTGCCTCTTTCAAAGGTCACTGTGTGGCTTGGCTCTGCGATCACAGGCTTCAGGGCTCTGATGACCAAGTTACCAGCCAAGGAAAGTAGCAAGTCTTCCACAAGGAAGGCATCCCTCATGCACCATCTTGCAGTGCCTGGATACATCAGAGTGTGTATAAAGCACAGTGTGTTTTCCTGAAACATGTAGCCAATCATAAGGAACAAAGGCCAGTTTGATTTTTTTCACCCACTGAATTACCACTCGTATGTTCCTCATACTCAAAATGAAGTCCTGATTCCTCATCTAAACTTGCTAAACTGCAATAGGCAGCATTACACAGCCAGCAAGAATTTTTTAAAAGCCAAAGAGGAATAAATATGTGTTTCAAATACAGAACCTCTTCTGCATCAGAAAAGAGCAGCTCTTCTAAAGAAGAGGAGGGAAACAGAATACAGGAAATAAAAAAGGATAGGAAGCCAGCGCCAGTGATGAGAGGTACTTCAGAGTGCAGAAGGCTAAGGCTTTTTGTGTTTTCTTCTTTCAGGGAAGGGAAGTAGGAACATTGTTCCGTGCCAGAACGGAAGGACTCCAGATGTTTTCTGTCCAGCTGCAGCTCTGCGGACTCACCTCTCACCGTCAGCTGAACGGCATCACTCTGCTGCACAGCCCTGGCCCCAACCCTGTTTTCGGCCTCACAGTAGTACTTCCCGGTGTCGGAGGGCTGCAGGCTGTCCCACGCCAGCTCAGCCTGGCTGCTCAGGAGCAGGGCTTTCCCTCCTGGGACGCTCCTGAACCAGCGGTAGCTGATGGGGGGAGACCCGTTGGCCACACAGGTCAGGCTGGCCCTGGCTCCTGCCGGGAAAGTCAGCCCCGGCTCGCTGGCCCTGATGATGGGCTTGGTCGCTGCAACTGGAAGACAAAGCAGATGGGGCCCAGGTCACGCTGGCCCTGGTTGCAGTGGGGAAGGTTCCTCCCCCCCTGCCATGGCAGTTCTTGCTCTGGCTTTCAGTGCTTTCCCAGGAGGAAGAGGGGCACCGCTCTCACGTCACCTCTCTGCACAGGTTAAGTTTAGCTTAGCTGTGCCCGTACCAGCTGTGCCAGCCATTGCACCTCCTACACGAGGGCCAGTTTGTTGGGCTGATGCCATCTCTGTTCCTATATAAATCACCACTGCCCAGGCAAAGGGAGATTGGGCACATGCCAATGAACTTTGGTCAAAGAAAAGCAATGCAATATCCCAGGGACTTCCCCTCTGGTGCATGTGCCTTGGAAACATTGAGCCATCAGATACAGGTAGAGCCAGGGACAAATTGGTAAGCGAGAGGCCACAAGTCCTCCCCCAGCCCCTGAACTGCAGGGCGCAGTATTGTGGGCAGAATTCATCTCTCTGACCTATTTATTGCTTCTCACTGCAGTCTGATACTGCTCAGCAAAACGCTCCTGCATCGGAAGCAGGTGGTCACTGTCTACCTGGTCTACTCAATTCCCAAAAGCCTTCCTGAGCCAAGCCTTCCACTCCTGCGCAGCTTCCTTCTTGGGTTTACCTTTAACAACCTCCACTTTAGTGGTGATGTCTTTTGCTATCAGGCTGTTGTTGCTGGCTCTCCAAGTGACCTCGCAAGTGTAGGTTCCCCTGTCAGAGACCTCCAGGTTCAGGATGTGGAGAGACACGTTCCCTGGGGCATCCTTTAGGACACTGACCCTGTCCCTGTACTTGGACAGGAGAACGTGGTCACCAGAACTGTCTCTCCGAAAGACGGTGCCAGAGCTCTGGTCATGTACCACAGTCCACTTGAGTGTTTGCTGCACAAAGTCCTTCTCAGGCACATAGGCACATGGCAAGGTGATAGATCCCTTCCATATGCCTTCAACCTCACTGGGGCCAGTCAGGTCCAGAAAAGCTGCAGGAAGAATGGAGAAAAAAAATTAAAAAAAAAAAAAAAAAAAGCCATCATGGTGAAGGCAGCTCCTGGGGGATGAAGGGGTGGTGAGAGCATCAGCAAATGGAATCCACCAAATCAAAAGCATGGGCAGTCAGTATAGATGATGACGGACAGTCTGTTCAGGCACAGGCTAACAAAAAAGCAATGTGGCATGAGGAAGACAGATGGGAGACAGCTGATTGCCAGGGCACTGACGTGTGTAGTTTGGCTCATGCTCTGCCTGGTGCTCACCTGCAAGCAAGGGAGCACCATGCAGAGCATAGGATCAGAATTAGCGGGTGACTTAGACCTGAGGGAAGGAGTTTGTCTCAAGCCTGAGTTGCACAGCTCCCCGGTCACAGCTGGCGTCTGGCCCCGCCACCTGATGTCACTCTTGGGGCTTTCCTGGGAAGCACCGCACGTTAACATCGAACCAGGGGTTTTATGGTTTTCTCTCCTCCACTGCCCATTTGGTCTTCTGAAAGACACTGCTTTTTCAGACTAAGCTGAATTTAAGCAATGGATCAAAGTCTAAAACTCTTTAAATTTTCCTGTAAAAGTGAGGTCCGTTGCCTTTGTCCCAGTACATCTTTGTCACTCCTGGGGCTGAACCTATGCTTCCACAGACATTTCTTTACCCTTTCCTCCTGGTTTCCAAACCTCCCCTTTCCTAGGGACACAAGAACTAACCAGACCCTTTGTGCTGGGCTGCTGGCTGTGCTCCACGAAATAACCATCACAACATATATGGGATCTTTGTACTCTAAGTACGTGGGCAGCGTTTCCATAGCCTTCATGGCCCATTGCACTCCACAGCCAGTGGATGTGAAACAAGTGAGCACCAAGCCAGCAGCATGCAAAGACATCGGCCTTTTTGCCATATTTCTATTCCCGAAACAGAACCACCCCTGTACAAACACATGCAGACACACCAGCGTGAGAGATAGAACTGCCCCGAGCTGGAGACCTTTCCATAAACTCACCGTTACAGAAGAGAAGAGGACTCATAAGCACGGTTGCTCTCACCAGCATTCCCATCCTTCCCAGGGCTGCAGCTTCTCCCTCTTGAGCAGGACAAACCTTCTCCCTCTAAGTCAGGGGGTAAATCAGGGACACTTCCCTTTCTTTGCTCACTTTGTCATCGAGAATGCAGGACAGCTGCTGATGGTTTTTCCTTCTGCTTTTTAAAAAACAGAAAGTGTCTCAGTGACGACTGTCAGAGATGTGGGCAGAGCAGAAGTCCTAAGGGAGAGTGAAAAGAGGAAAATTTAAGAACTACATCTACTCTATTTCATATTTCCTCCTGACTATGCTTTTCTCCCCTTTTGTTTTCTAATTTCACTTTAAAAAGTTTCCTTTGTTCCTTTTTATTCCTAAGCACCTATTTCTTCCTCTTTTCCTCTTTGCATTTCTTTCTAAATAATAAGTTTTAACACATATGTTACATACAAGAAGGTCTTAGAGAGTACTTGTAAGGAACTAAACCACCAAGGTCCTTACTATTCATTTTCTTACCAGCTTTTCTGTGAAGATCACCACTGTGTTTTAAATTAAGATTCATGAAACACCCTAAATCTTTACATTACCAGTGTGAGACAGATGATCATTATAGGTCACTGCCAACTGAAATATTCTATTCTGTATCATTATATCCCATTTAAGAGGCAGGGAATTTAGGTATTCAAGTCCGAAAATAAATAATTTCCAAGAGCTGCAGGCACCTGGCTTGACCATCCCACTCTATGCCACAGATTGATCCTTCTTTCTCACATAGCAATTTAGCTGCTTGGTGGAATTGATTAATTGCATTCAATTAAAAACATGGATTAGGGCCATATGCACCTGCACCTCCCTGTAGACTACTTTGGAAACAGGTAAACAATTATACACCTAGAAAGAAAAAAAGGAACTTATCGAAGTAGAGTATCTCTGAGACTATGAATTTGTGATTTCTTAACTGCAATGAGATGTGTTATTATTAATTAAAGGTAATATTAGCTACAGTTAATCTGTATTATTAAGTAACTGAACGCTAGGCCTGTCTAGGAGAAGTATCTGTTCTCTGCTGAAACATTATCTTCAAGAGATTTTACATGCCTTTTTCTGTCTTCTGTAGCTCTTTCTTTTTCTTATGCTCTAATGACAGAAATCTCTTCCACTTCATTGTATTGAGCTAAATCGCTATGAGCACTTTGCTATTGTTACATCCAAATTCAACATCCAGTCCTCAAATGCAAGTAACCAGAATAATTAAACAACGCAGTCAACAAAATCCTAGACCACGTTCTAAAGTCCAACCCTCCTTTAATGATAGTGAGACAATGTTTGCATCTGTAGAAGCACAGTACAGGATACCAGAGCAATCCATGCTGCATACCTCATTCTGAAGTAGTGGCAATGTGGGAAAAAAAATATTTCTTATAGTCTTTATACGGCTTAAAGATGGCTCCACCTATGTTGTCATTCGTAGGCAGCTTCATTAGGTTGTTATGTAATTTAACATTAAAAACAGGAGATTTGTGTATACAACCCTGAGAGCTCTGATATTATCTTGTTCCTTTTCTTTTGAGGTCTTTGCTTTGATTGTGATTGCTTGCTTTTACATATATTCTTACCTTAGACTAATTGATAGCTCATTCTGCAAAACAGTGGTGCTTAAAAGCCTATATGCATATAGAAGTGTGATTTTTTTTTTTTTTGACGACTTGTTATTAACATTGATCTAATTAAGACAATGTTATTGGTATGAGTTTGAATTTGGTTCTTTTCAGGTTATAACATCCTGATCTCTGTTTCCCTGAAGCTAGTGATTTTACTACACACAATTGTCATGCCTTTATTTGGTTAGAAAATCTTTATATCCTTGTGGTTATTTCAGTCATGGCCTAGAGAATCATCTGTTCAATTAATTTCTTACCATCTCCTATATTTGCAGTTATATCTGTAATTAAAGAGGACATCTAACCAGCTTAAGGCCTAAATGCTTCTGAAAATATCCTACTTGATAAAGCTGGGAAAAAGGTTCAACAGAGATTCAAGAGATTTTTGGACCTGATTTCACATGCTCCTCCTTGTAGCCCTGTATTCCTCCATCAGAAATTTTCCATGAGATGCAACTCCAATCTGCAGTCACTAGGATGGGGAGAAGCAGGAAAAGCTTGGGTGGGTTGCAGTGTCCACATACTTCTTGGTTCAGAAAAGGAAGAGAAAAGAACATGTTAAGTTCAAATTAATAAAACTCCTTCCTGGGGAACATGGCTGGCTGGACAGGAGGGCAGAAGCTTAAACTGACTCAGACTAAGTCATACGGGAACCTAGCAGGGCATGTACGGACCAGGAAGCTAAAACTCAAACTGCTTGACAAAAAAAAGATGTGTATATGTTTATATGTTAATTTATATATTTATATTTACATTTACCTTTGTGGTTGGGGGGACAGTGGCAGGAGAAATCTCTTGCCCTTTATATGATGCGAGTGCAGACACCTGTACACTAAGATGACCCTTGGTAGCACTCTCTTGCTTCTGCTTTGGGGAACTATGATAACAGGGATACTACTTTTCAAAATGGCAATCTTGTTTTAGGAGATAGCAAAGCATTTTGAGCATGGACTGGATGAGGTGGCATCATACAGTCCAGGAGAGACAGACCAAAATAAGTTTTTCATGTATTCTGGAAAGCTCTGTGTTAGCAAGCACACAGCATTATGAGATAAAAAAATTGATGGCTAGGCTGCCGTGGTTGGTGTGGGGAGGACTAGTCTGGAACAGTATGAAAAATAATTATGAAAGGAGCATGTGAGGGGCACTTTTCACCTTCTCACGCTGTGCTTGCCATGCCTGGGTGTTCTGCAAATTCTCAGCACATGAAAGTCAAGGAAAAGCAGCCTTTCCTTCCCCACATACAGGACACTAAAACCAAGAAGTAAATGCAGCAGCTGTGCACGTCGATGCTGGGGGAGGAAGGAAACTTGCATTATATTGAGGCAATGGTGATCACGGGTAACCCAAACTCCTTACACATCGAGTTGCAGTGACATAGTAGCCTTACCAGCAGGCTGTTGTACGTTCAAGGGGTTAGTGACCTGCTGCCTCCCGGACGCCCGTGCTGCACCCACTGCTGGGCCCTGGGGCTTGTGCCGTGCTGCAGATACCACCTGGCTGCAGACAGACCTGCCCGGCTCCTCGCAATGGAGTTGTCTGTCCGTGGCTCCCCACGCCGACGGCGCTGACGTCTCCTTATCCTTACTTTGAAGTGGAGCGACACGTTTTCATATAAACATCCTTTTTCTTGGCAGTGGAAATGATGAACAGATTTCTTTACTTCGAGGAGAATCCTACAAAGACTGTTAACCGGTGCTGGTTAACCTCCGTGTGGGCTCTGCACGGTGTGCCATGCCCAGATCAGAGGTCTGCCTGATGCTAGGGTTATCTATGCTCTTCCCTGTTTCCTTCTTGCGTTATCTACCACAAACATTGTTTTAATCAATACCTAATGGAGCTGAGGCCCTTTCTTACTGGAGTCTGTGAAGAATGCTTGTGCTGGCGTGCTACATCTGGTGTAGCTGGCAGAGCCCCAGCAAGAAATGGCTTTTTGGGAAAGGACAGGGAGGCGAGAACCAGACAGGTGCCAGGCTGGCCCCACATGCAGACGTGAGAGCACTTGCACAATCCTTGGGCTGAGTGACTGTCCTGTGATGTGGCAAACAGGAACAGAGTAATCTGGGTGTCCCAGCCCAGCTGAAATATCAACTTGTCTCTGAAAGGAAAAGGAAAGGGTGGTAAAAAAAAAACCCAAAAACCAGCAGAATTTACATTGTAGGTGGTTGTTACTAACACACTTTCCAAACAGCGCTGGTAAGTTTTGACCAGGCAGAGAGTTACCAAAGACTGAGATATGGGAAGAGCTGGTGTGGGTACTGCAGCAACAAGAAGAGCCGATAAAGAGCAGGAGCTGCTGTGCCAGCTGGGGGGACAGCCGTGGTCCTGGCAGCAGGTACAAGGCTGAGGCCGGGATCCTGCAGTGTGGGACCATGAGTTACGAACAAGCAACAGGGACCATAGATAGCCTTTCAGACTGTCTCTGTGTGAGATGACATCCAGGGAGAATTGTAGAGCATGGTTGAAACTTACTGGCAAAAAAACCAGGGAAGAAACTAGGGCAATGGCTCTAGAATAGAATTGTTGATTTCAGTAATGTTTTTTCTTTTTAAACAAATGTGTAACAGAATGAATCTAGAAATCAGAATAGAAGTTAATGTTAAAGGAAGAAGGCACAGATAAGTATTAGAAGATACTCAAACCCGTCTGATAACTGACCTTAACAGCTGTAGTCTAATGAATCTAAGTTAACCTTGTATGATACATGACCTTAAGGTGCCAACACCTTCCTTTTAAAGGAAAGGAAAGAGAAGATGGTGTCTGATTAAATATACCAACTGCTGATTTAAACTAAAATGTAAAGTTTGTCTGTTTATTATAGAGAAGACGGGGGAGATGGAGAAATGGAGGCAGCAGGGTGTGTGTGGGGGGGGAAGGTGAGTGAATATATTGGGTGCTCCTATTAAGGAAAATTCTCCAGCTCTGGGAACAGAGATAGCTACTAATGAAAAGCTTTTGAAAAGATTTCCATCCTGTCTTTCATCTTACTCTCCCTTTCACATCCCATGGATTCACTTCAGTTGATTTGTGTTTACATAGACCTCTTATATTACTCAGAGGATACCTCTACTCCTCTGAGTAATGTAAGAGGATTCAAGGACACATGCTCCTTTGAAACAGTAGTAGCATTTGTTTTGCTGAGCTTGGGGCATGGTGGCGATCTTTACAACAGCACTTGTTTGTACAACAGGTTCCTGAAGCTGCCATTTCACAGTGCTCAATCCGTCACAACTTCCAGTTATCAACTGGGGAGCTTTCTACCGCAAGTCCATTTCTCACTGGCATCCAAGACAGTATTGTGAGCTTTCACATCACCACCTATGAAAAAATAGTATCAGGTCCCCTCACTGCTTAGACGTGAAGGCTGGCTCCCTGCAAGCTACCTGTATATAGGCAATGAATAAATGCCCAAAGCCAGCCTGGCCCTACGCTCTCAGTGGTGGCCAGTCCCATTCCCACAAGCTTTGATTATAACATGTTGAATATGGGTTAATAATAAACCTAAACTTCCTTCTTTCTCAGGCTGACAGCTCTGAAAAGAGGTGCCAGGCTGACCTTAGCATTTCAGTTATTTTTGAACCCGCAGCAGCTGCATAATGAGATCCCCCAGAGAGTATTAAAGCTCTCCTTTCTAGAAAATTCTGTAAACAGGTTGTGGAAGTATTGGCACACACAGGAACACACGCAAAAAGAACGTACAAGAAACACAGTAATGGTTTTGCAATTGTGGAGTTTAATTACTTCAGCATGTAGGTTTTTCTTGCTATTCAGCCTTCCCCTTTCCATTGCAATCTTTCCCAGTAAACTTGCATAAAGAAACACTTTTCCTAGACCAGTACATAAACCAGACACAGATGCACAAATTTTTATTTGCAGTTTTCTTAAGCCTTGGTTTCTTAACTTCTTAAGAGAGAAAGTGTATTAAAAAGCTATTACGCAATCAGATCAAATATCTGATGGTGAGATGCACTGAGATCAGAGGACTCCATGATGGAAGAACATGACAGTAACCCATAACAGGAACTACACTTCAGTCTAACCTGTTCAGTGTGAGAGGCTGATTGTCTGTAGCTCTCACAAGAACTTTGTTGTCTGCACTGTGCTGTCAAAACAGCACAGAAAAGTTTGCTGTTTCACTCTTGGCAAAACTGAGGCCCTTGGGGAAGAAATTAAAAAAACCCAAACAACAGAACCCAAGACAGAGACACAATTCACTAATTTCCTCCTCTCCCTTTAGCTCACAAAACCTTCAGACTATTCAGCCCTTTGTCTCAAGAAGTAAGCAAAAGAAAGACGAAAAAAGGCTAGAATAAGATACACTTGACAAAAGGCAATTCAAAAGATACAAACATGAAGGATCACGAGGTAAAGAACAGTTACAGAAGCACAGGAATAAAATGACACTGTGAAGGCATTACACATATACACACACTCAGTAGCAAGATCCTCCTCTGCAACTCAAAAGATTTGACAATGAAGCACAAATCCAGTTAAGCAAGGCCAGCACAGATAACATGCATTATCTAGTAGGCTTCAGAATATCAAATTACCTTGGATTCTTTAATATAAAAGAACAGAAAACTTAGTACTTCAGAAACTTCGGAGAGAACAAAGCCTGTAGGTAGCCTGAATTCCTAAACCTGAAAAAAACTGCAAGTAATTGCACTGGTAGGAAATATCATGTGATATTATACAACGGGTTTTCTACCTGCCTCCAGGCATTTTCTAGCCCCAACAGTTTTGTATCGCTACAACAAATTTCAGGTTTGTGTGGGCTAGTGGTAGACTGCTACAAACTTGGTATCAATGAAGGAGAACTTGCTATTCCACTGACACCAGGGGCTGATGTCTACATGACAGCTGCTCAAAGAAGTTAGGAAAAAGTGTAGAAAGGAATTTTGAGAAAAGATTTTTTGATTAAGAAGACACTAGTTTTTGTAATTCGCTGTCAAAGAACTCAAATGCATCTAGTTAATTTAGCTTTAAGATTCCACAAGCAGAAAATGCAGCAAGAAGTCAGGTGTTCATATAGGGTCAGGTAAACAAATAGATACTGCAAGCAGAAGAGCAATGTTAATGTGATGTCCTATGTCAATGCAAGTTACCCCATGACTCCTCTTTTTTTAAAATTTTTTTCCTTTTCCCTTCTCATTTTAAGGACAGCTGCTGGACTTGCTAGACGTGAATCAGTTCTACTCAAAATTTCTGAGGACACATGACCTGTGAGCTAGGTGCAAGTTACCCTAGAAGAACTGCCATGCAATGTGCATGAGAAATCAGCATTACGCAGGGTGGCAAGCACTTCCTACCACAACACCTACAAGCCGTGGCAATGGATGTGTGTTAGCATGTTAAAAAGTAATATCCCACAGTTAAAATGTAATTTTCCATAGGAAAAATGTTCCCTGTACCTAGGAGCAAATCTAGGAGTACGAAAGTGATCTAAGCAGATGCAAACAATTGTAGCCACAAACTATCAAAAAAGAAATCTCAAATTAAAAACAAAATTAAAAAAAATCTCAATTTCAAACAGTAGACAAGCCACCTATTGAAACAGGCTCTCAGAAAGAGTAAAACTCATGTTTAAAATATTACATACCACATTACTATCCAGCTAATAAAAAAACCCAAACAACAAAAAACCCCAGCCAAACTTTACAAACAGGATACAAACAGATCTCCTCTTGCAATAAGGGTATCGGATAAAAAGTTACGGAATACATCGCGGTATGTTTACAGGGACATTGTTCTTCTCCTCTGCCCAGTGCCTTCACTCCCACCAGCTCTTGTTTTGAGCCTGTTTTCAGATTTTCCAGATGTACTCTTTGCTTGTAGAAAGAGAACGTTCTTTTGCCTATACAGACTATGACACCCAGGAAGCAGGTGAGGAGAGAGGTCAAACTTCTTGCTGATCCATTTCTTGTTGTCTATTCACACCACTAAGCCAGTTACAGATGTTATGTGAGTTCAAGAAGTTTCTATCTCAGAGGCCTCTTCTATGAAGTTAGCAACAGGACTGAGGAGCAAGAGTGGAAACAGTTTATACTCTCCGTTCCCATCTTCCGAGAGGAGAGGTGGATCACCCATTCCCAGAGCATCCAGAGGCTCAGCCTGGCTTGCTGGAGCTGCTAGCGGCAAGCCAGTTCCACTACCTGAGGGAGGATGAAGAGCAGGTTTCTCATCCAGGGGGGGCAGCAGAAGGTCTTTTGGATCCTCTGTCTTCCCTGCAGCTTCACTTGAAGGTAGTTCTTCAAATAATGAGAGCAGAGGATTGGCCCTGTACTCTATCAGCTGCATATCTGAGGGAAAACAAACAGTTTAAACTCCAGGCTCCTGTGTCACGTTAGTGACAAGACAAGCAAAATCAGAGAGGCTGCTTCAAAACCTGGTTCACTAAAGAAAACCACACAGCTGAGCTCTGACGGACTACATCCACAGCTGCAAGAGGGGAGCTAAGGCTCCTGTGTCTGTTCAGATCAATATCTGAAGCACACTTCAAGCCCCTAATACATACAGCATGCAATGGCAGCATTGAAGTAGTAAAATGAGTAGCACTGCATTTGTGGGGGTTGTAGCCCATAGAGGGGATACTTCCACAAGGACATTTGCAGTTCTGCTCCCTATTGTGGCACTCTGTCATGTATAAGAAAAAGGAAATGGTTAACACCAACATGGGGCATAGGATGGGGCCTTTTGATTGAGGCACAGCTTCATCAAGATCAGTGAAACATTCCAGTCTTCACAAAAATGTTAAGCCCAGACCAAAGAAGGAGATAAACCACATTACAGGCTACAAAAATTCCATTTCAACACACAGTTTTGGAAGAGTTTGGAACTGTCACAGCTCTCAGTGTTCCTTCCTGCCCACCTTTGCTTCCGGCTGTTTCTCTCTCTCTTGCTCCCAGATCTTCAGTGCTCTCTGCCAAGTTTGCAATCTGAAGCAAAATGGGCAGAGAGTAAGACAGAATGCTCAACAACAACAAAATCCAAGCCTTCACTGACTGGCTAACAAAATTAAAGGTGAAAGGAGGAGGGAAGAGAAATGAAACACTTGACCAATGAGCCCACTGTTCCACATGAGGGCCAGCAAACAGGAGCTCTCAGAAGAAGGCATGGTGAAATACAGACAAACTTAACTTACTAAAGCCAAACAAGCTTCTGACTAGCAAATACTTATTTTACGTTCCAAAGCAGAAGCTTTATTATAGTCTATCTTATTGGAATAACACTGTTAAACATGATTTCATCAATACAATTAAAATTTGCAAGCCCTGCTTGAACACAGCTGCATTTTACCTTAGTTGTGGTCTAAGCTCTTATGACTGGGAAGTCCTAGTTTAAATATTATTTCAGGACTAAAAAATAAGTGACACTTGCAAGGTTTTTTTTAACATGAGTCAGTTTTAGGAACTGGACCAAGAGAAGTAAATTTGCACTGAACTTTTGTATGTCCTCTGAGGAAATTCCATACAGCTGCGTTCAGAATAAATACAGTATATTGCATTATATTTTTCATTTAGTACTTTTCGTTCAGACAGGCTGAAGGCACACAATGTCATCTGAACTATAACCCCAGACCTAGTTACTACCTGGCTAAAAGACATCATGGGAATCCCTGAGGCTAGGAGAAACAAGCCAAGAAGCTGTTCTCAGAAACTTACATCCCCAAAAGATAAGATTTTCTACCCTCCTCATTCTAAACAGAAGGTACAGAAGTAATAGATGGGGGGGGAAATCCTCAATACAGACATCTGATTCAACAGACACCAGTTTGTTTCCCTCTTCATTATGTTCTAAGGTGTATTCAGAAAGCAAAAACCATGTTATTCAAAGCAAAGTGACAGTTTAAATCAGCCCACTGAGTGTATTACTGCAGCTAGGAACGTAAGACTTGAAATTATCTTGAGAACCCTCTTAAATTCATATATACCAACAGCAATAACTGAAAACATTACGTCAGCGGGACTAGATAAACAGGCAGTTTCATCCTGTGCTATCAATCCAGTCCCTACCTTCAAACTGCATCAGTCAAAATTTAGCTCTCAACATCATATTAACCCTCCCCATCACAGAAGCAACTCTTACTCTTACATTTTCCATACCAGGGGAAGTTTCCATCAAGCTCATGTCAAGGGCTGGCAGCTCAGAATTAAGCGTCTGAAAATAAAAACAGACAGTATGTGGTATAATACAGTTCTTAAACAAAACTTCAGAGAACTCCTGAAAGGACAGCAGAATCCAGGACACCGCTCCATCCACTGAAGCACAGGGAAGGTGGCTCCTCCACAGGCCTACAGCAATATACTTTCGACCTGTGGCAGTAAACTGAGGTCACATGAGAAGAAAAGGACACCATATTTCCTAGTGATTCCAGGTATATGGCTGAGTTTCATTCCATATCATAACGCATAATCAAACACATGGTCAGGATGTAATGTTATGTGACAAAGGCTTGAGGGGGAGAAGAGGGTCCAAGTTCCCCCCCCCCCCCCCTTGAGTTATGTACAATGGAAATACAGTATGAACTGAAAAAGGCTCTCAATGTTACAGTGTACATTGTTAGACTCATAGAAAGACTATGTATCATTCTATCCCTAACTATTTGTTTTTCAGGATTTTCCACCCTCTTGCCCATTACAACACAGAATAAAACAGTAAAATTTTATGATGCAACCTAGTAAGTATTTTTCAGAAATCAGAAAAAGTGAAAAGACACTCACATCGCTGAAAGCTTCAGAACCAAAGTTATACTGCTTCCCAGATAACATTGCTTGAAGCTCTTCAAGGCTGGCATCAATGCAATTAAGAAAATCCTGAATTTCTTCCCTAAAAAGACAAAATGATATAGTACTGTAAGAAACAGTTAGCAGCTAGGACCTTCTTTTGCACCACAAGGCAGGAAAAACTCTCAGAAATGATCTGCTAACCTCTCAGTTATTACAGCTGTGGGGCAAGATGAGAGCCAGACTAGGTTGCTCACAATCCAGAATAGCTTATTGCCAAATGAATGAAACTGCATTCCTGTACCACTTTTCATGGTCCAACTCTTTGAAGGACAGGTACAAAGACGACCATCTGAACAGCAAGTATAATAATAGCTATCACATCAAAAAGCAGTTCCTCCTTCCATACCTACTTCTTCCTTCATTTTAATATCTTTCAAATGTTCTCAGATCCCATCCTATATACCAACATCTGTTTAAACTAAGGTCTGATGGCTTCACCTGGGGACAATAAATGATAAGCAAAGGGCTGAACATAATCTGGATCTGAAGAAACACTACCTGTTTTGAACCATCAGATTGTTGCCAACTTGTACACGTTTCCAAGGACAGTGGGCAGGACTCAAAGGACAGTGACTGAAGTGGAAAGGAAGCTGCATGCATGGTGCCAGTGCTGAACTTCTCGCTGTGCTGCAAGCTACCTCCTATGGTGGAACTCCCAGCTACAAGGAACAGAGAGTTCCAAGACATTGCCCCACATTTTGCAGTCCCACCAAGGCACTCTGCTCTGTGAGACCCCACTTGCAGTACTGCGTTCAGCTCTGGGGCCGTAAGAAGGACATGGATGTCGCTCTGAGCAACCTGGTCTGGTGGAAGGTGTCCCTGCCTATGGCAGGGAGTTGGAACTAGATGATCCCCAAGGTCCCTTTCAACCCAAACTATTCTGTGATTCAGTGATATTACAGGGCCTTCAGTTTACACCGAGTGCTGTGACACATCATCTCAGTACTTCCTACCTGAAGTTAAGCACAGCAGAAAAGCTGTGAGGAGAAAGAACTAAAAAGTTTGTTCCTTGATCCAGCCCACCCTGCAGCCACACAAGTGACGGCACTGATAAAGCTTGGGGGCCAGTGCAGAGCTGGGAACTGCTTAAGCAGCAGTGCTGCTGAGTGTGAAACCACAGCCTGCATGGTTTTGCTCCCAGGGGCGAGTCTGACCTGACAATGTGCAAGGGAAATGAACCTTTGCGAAAGTGAGGGGCAAAGAAAGGAAGCAACAGCGAAACAACATCAGACTACCACTGATACAAATCCATATCCAGTCCTCAGAAACAAATCAACAAGTGGTGCTCTCCTGAAATCACTACCCTTGACCTGCTGTTTGGCAGTACTTGGCAGTGCCAGTAGTTGGCAATACAAGGGCTGATGTGACAGACCGACCTCACCAGTCCTCAGAGTTATGCACCAGAAGTCAGGCACACTCATTATCAGAGATGTGACAGATGAACTTGCCCTGCTTTTAGTGCATGATGCTAACACTTGTCTTTTTCAAGACCTACTAAGGGGCAGAAAATTCAGTTCATCAATGACATTTAAAAAGCTAAACACATCCTCTGAAACTTTGACAAGATCCCACAAGATACCTGTCCAGTAAAGGATCGTTTTGGTTTCCAGAGTTGTTCTCATTCAAGATGGAGTCAATCACTGACACAGGGTCTTCTGGAGCATTAGGTTGTGCAGTATGGAGTTCCACAGCAACATTTCCTATTTCACTGGATTTGCTGACATCATTTATATGAACTGGTGGGATAGTTTCTGCACAATTTAACTCATTTGGCTGCGATACTTGACAAATAGGTAAGCCAGGATCCAGAGCTGCCTGTGTCTCTCTAAAACATGACCCAAAGAGAAACAACACACAGAAGAATTCATCAACTGTATTACTACTCATTTCAAGTTTAGTACCTCAAATCTTAACACCAAATAAGGTCAGGGTAGTCAAGGGTTCAAAAAACCAACTGGTCTTTAGAAAAAGAAAAGAAGTGCCTTCCCAAAGGCAGATGAAGAATCTCTTATTACAGCTTATACAGATAGCATTTATCAGAGCAAACCACCCCATTTTGCCAGGCCCAAAGCGGCAAAATAGTATATGGAAACTAGGCAGGAGGGAACCTCTTAACATTGTGTCTCTGGAAAGAAAAGATTCCAAATTGGTCCCTATGTCGCTGTGGATGTTAACAGCTAAATGGTTTTTCACAAGAATCTGATGCCACACAAAAGAATGTCTTCCCTTCAGTTATGCTTAGCATAATATTAGCAAGAGTAGTAGTGAAACTGGAGATAAAACTATACATCTTGGTTTGTTTATTAGTAACCTATATACATTTTGGATTGATTATTAGTAACCTATATATGCATTCAGGTCCCTATTCAGTAAAAACATTAAGTATGTGCTTATTTGTTGAATAGATAGAAAAGCCTCAGCAAATTAAACTTCAAGTGCCAATCAGCTTGATAGGCCTTCAAGCACTCCTGAAGAGACATGAGCTCTTAAAAAGCTTTGCTGACCATGACCAATGCTACACACTGTAAAAAAGACAGCCTACAAACAGGCCTGTCATGCACAAATAGAGTAAAAATTCAGAGAGGCTGTTTCCCAGAATTCACATGGATCACTTATACTAGTGTACCTACCTAGTTAACAACCTAAGCATAAATACTGCCACATCCTTTAAAAGTACCTGGCTCTGCCACTTGTGTGTGCTACAGCAAGGAGACCATCAGTGGCATTTTCCAGGGTATCAGTGATATCTCGAATGATGAGACCTGTACCATTTCCATCCTCATCATCTGCATCATGTTCAGAAAAAGCCACCTGCAGGATACAGCAAATAGAATGAGTAAATCAAAAGGTCTGACTTTTTTTGATGTTGAAGCTCCATTCTTCTTGCAACTTCTCCTTCCTGTTCAGACTTCATCTTTGACTAGTTGTACTGATTTGCATGATTTTACAGACAGAGCAATGCTTTAAAGCTGCCCATTTCAAAATGGAGTCCATCTGATTACAAGATTAGGGTATGAATAGTAAGAAGGAAGACTTCGAGATCACTGTGTATCATCCTGTCCAACCCACTGTCTCTTTCCCTGGGAAGACTTACTGCTTGGCCACTCTCCACAGGTATGCGAACATACTGACGACTGTATTTGGAAGGTGAAGCACCTGCAGCATCCGTTAGAGACCTGAGACAAAATACAGCTTTAGTATATGGTTCCGCAGTAAAAAGCTGTAGCAATGCCAAATACATGGAGTAATGGTAAGAACAATCATTCTTCCACTTCTAAGAAAACTGGCTTTTGGAAATGTTTTTTAGCAAGTGTATTGCAGACAGGTTGCATTCTAAGCATGCTTTTTGTTTTGAGCAAGTCAGTCACACTTGCACATTTTGAAAAAGTTACCATTTCTGCTAACTATGCCATTCGAAATTTAAAATGTATAGTATATTCTCTTCCCACCCATTTTTTTAGTGATAAAGAACAGGAAATCTTTATTTCATGCTTTGTTCAGCTTCCATCAGCTTTCTCAAGTTTCAATATAAGAGTGATAAAAATATTTTTCATACACTTTAAGTATCTTGCTTCTAGAAGCTGATTTATCCCTATAATTCATATCTGACACAGATTTGTGACCTATCCAGTAATTACCTTTTTCTTTTGACCCCAACAATGTAATTTCCTCGCATCAAACTTAGTATAAATTGAAGAATCTAAAAAGGAAAAGCAAAAAACCAAAAACAAGTGGTCAGCATAGCAGTCCTAACATTAAATTATTCAGATTTTACTAGAAAATTATGTAGTTATGTGATTGAAATTAATAAGTAAATTAAAAATCCATTTGTGTTCATGTCTTAAAACACAAAATGATAGTTACCAATGGCATTGAAAAATTATCCCACTTGGACAGTTGTGTTTTTGTTTTGTTTTGTTTTTTTTTTTTAAAATGTAACGTAACACCACAAGTCTCTAGAGGATTCCAGACCAGAAACAGCTGAGGGATAAACCAGAGAAAATTTGTGCCATTGCAGAAGCTTCTATAGTTTCTGGGTTCCAAGTTGACTTCTTGAGTGGTCTAAGTCTGTCTTGGTCCAAGATCTTTCACAGACTCCATTCCATGTGCCTGCAATCTCTTGTTTTAGGCTCCTGTTACCATGCACTGCCTCCAGCCCCATGTTTACCCCAGGTCAGCTGGATTTACTGACTTCTCTCCAAATAAGGTTCACTGAGATTTCAAACACACTGAAATCCCTTTTACTATGACTTTTCCTTAGTATTTTGCTTGTGGTTCTTTGCTGTGCTACTTCTGGGACGCTCAGGAACTGTGAACATTTTCTTTATGCTGTATTAATATAGCCTGTTCAGCTCTGTGTCATTTGTCATTCTACATAAGCAAAGAATGCCATCAAGTATCACAGAGGCAGGAATAAGGATGGTAGCACTGAAGATGCTGCAATGGTACCTTAGACAGCAGCTTCTGTTGTTGACTGTGCTTCTGCCTTAGAACTGCCACTTCTTTCCACAGGGCCTTATTTTCTCTGCAATGCAGAATAAATCAGAAGACAGAGGATGAACAGAGTTTACTTTATATGCTTTAGTGTTACAGCTTTCAAACTTTCACAGTACCTTGCAGGACCAATGGCAACACTCCTTCCGTGGATAGCTAACAATCAGTTAATCCGATCCACTAGTATAAACTCTGGGTTAAATTAACTCCGTTTTCCATCAGGCAGGACCAAACACTCGCTAATAAGGATATTCTCATCCTCTGCTGCTCCACCAATAATCTTGGTCTGAGGTATTCCTTTGTGTTTAGAAAAGGAAACGCTTTGATGGCCCTAAAAAACTACTACAGATGATGGCAACCAAAATGAAATCTCAAGATAGTCAACAAACTCCCAGTCTTAATCTCTGGTCTGCAACTGAATTATAAAAACAAACAAGATTCAGAATGTTGTGTGGGGTGGAATGGGGCTTCTTAGAAAAAAATATAGCTTCACCTGTTTCCAGTTCAAATGAAACCCACATTTAGAGTCAAGCTCCATTAGATATAAGCAACATTCAGCGTATAAGTGCCTCTGAAACAGACGGAGTCTACCTCTTCATGTTAGCCAGTCTGACATCCATGTTATTCTGCTGCTCTCTCATTTCCTGGACTTCAGAGAGTACTTTGTGCAAATCCTCTGTACAGACCTTGAGATCCTCAGTTCTTACTGCAGATACCTAAAATAGGACCAGGTTACACATGCTTTATTATGAACAGTACCTTGCATACTCCTTCCTACAGGAACAGTGTAGTTAGTCTGTGGAAGAACAGGTACAAACTCCATTAAAAGATTAGATAACACTATAATTCTTATGTATCACAAAATATCACGGTTGCAACAGATGACAGTCCTTAGGACAGCCTACACTGTATGAAAAAAAACAAGTTGTCAATGAAAACACAAGATTAGTACTTTGTACGTGTAGACAGTAGATTCACCATTGCAATTCATGATAAAAACCTACCACTGATTGAAAACAGCCTTCCCTAGGGGGTTCTCTCTGACAGGTCTGGTGACAGCTTGCCCTCTAGTGTCAAAGAGTAAGACACCAACCAAAACCAAAACACAGAAGTGATAGTGGAGTAAAAACAAGATGATGGCATTCCTTTTAGGTGTGGGTAAATCCGCGAGCAGAGGAGTAACAAATTTCCATTAAGTTATGGGGGGGGGAGGGGGGAGGTGTCTAATTAGATGCATCCTACTCTACTTGCAAATTTGTCCCACACCACCTAAATTGCAGACTCCCATATCGGTGTTCCCTCTATTACCTTTCTGCTCAGTGACATTCCAAAATTATAGAGACTTGTCTCCAGAGAGTCAGAGTCCAGACTGCTCTTCTTCCCACAGCAGAGTCCATGAATGCCACCTCTTCAAATGATGGCAGAAGAGTCATCAGAAAGCAAAAAGCTCACTCTCTCCTCCCCACAGTTCCATATTCAAAATTTTCAAATGCCTTCAGCAACTCTCTCTGCAGTGGTGGCATTGATGGCTAACATACAATTCAGGATTTTGAAAAAGATAGGTCTGGTGCATCACACGTCTGAATGACATGTCCTGGTTTTGTGGCTGTAATTTTAAAAATCATTTAGCCAAATACTGACCATAACTGAACCAAATGGAGTTGCACCAGATAACCACCAGATGTCCCTTCCAACCTACAGCATGCTACAATTTTTCTTAGTATTCCACTAAATTGCAAAGGGGAGGTGAAAGCACCTGGGACTGGCCTGCTGAAGTGCTAGACAACTTCCATGCAGGTTGGCTCACAGACCCCTTTTCTTCAAAGGAGAATGGGATGGTCAGAAATGGACCTATGTTGTTATAAAATAGCATGCCATCACTTCATGATGAAACAGAACATAATTGTTATGCAATCACTCCACAGAAATAACTACTTTCTTAACATAACCCAGTGTTACAAAGGATGGACTGAACAGCCTGACAGTTCTCCTCTCTGTCTACATTTTTAGATGCTTTGCTATTCATTGCAGATAATACTTTATGCTGAGGTACATGAGCCGTATCCCAAATGAAATTCACAGCCATCTGCTTTCTCTTCAGCATACCACCTCTCCATGGGGAAGACACACAAAAGATGCAGACAGCAGATGGAATTTTCAAATGCAGTCAGCCTCCCTCTAAAAAAAGGGCCAAACTAAAACATTCTGCCCAAGTGCAAGGAATTGCTCTCTTCGGAGTCTCTAACTAATCAATAAGGGTGTTGAGACTGAAGCACACCAGCAGAACTAACATTAAAAGGGAGTAAATGAAGGAAGTCCTGCATTCAAACTTGCATTCCTGTTAGAGGCTTGAAATCCAGTTTACAGCAAGTACTAAAATATGACTCCATTCCAAACAGTAAAAGAGCAGGAAAAACTAATGGATGTTTTGCAAAAAATCACTGACGTTTCCTGTGCAACAAAGAGTATGTTTCACCAGCCTATTCAATAGTTTCATACGAACGTCCTTGGCACCAACTAGAGCTTTTGTCTTTCCATCTAGAATACTCCACCCAGTGCAACACTCCTGGGATACATGGAGCCATGCATAATGTCATCAGCTGACTGCCCCAACACACCAGCAAGCAAGGTGTGCAAGCCAAGACAAGTTAGCGATTACAGCATCTGGGAAGAGCACAGCCCTGAGTCAGAGAAGCAGCTGTACAACTATATTTAATCAATTGTGATTCTGAGCAGAGACAGCTCAGTGAAGAATCAATCAAAACACAATTGTGACTCTCAAGCCTACCCTGTGCTTTTATTAACTTGGGCAATGTAGCTACCACATTATGACATTCTAAAGAAAAGGTTCTGCAGTTCAAACGTCAACATGATGTATCACGATACTCTCTTTCTCTGGCAGCCAGGATATTATGGGCTGTAATGTGCCAATAGAGGATAAATATCTGTGCAGAAACAGGTCAGACAAGGCCTGAACGTACAAAAGAAAACTGGAAAGCACTAATAAAGATGTAGCTTAGTGGCAACATAGTTTTGGGGAACGATGTAATTTACAGAAACTCGCCCAAATGAACGGATTACTGATGCCCTTGCTAATTTTCAGTGAGCACCAACTGGGAATGTATTTTCTTTTGCTCTTTCCCTTTGTGACTCTTTCCAATGCTGCTAGGCTGGCAGAATTGAAGACCATGCTAAGCTGTAATCAGGTATATGAACGCTCTGTGGAAAAAGGGCTCTACTTTGACAGCTATGAAGAATGTGGCCCTACTCCAGTGCATTACTAAACAACAGCAGGGTGTGTTTTGCCTAAGAGCTGGCATGAGGAGGCCAAGCCAAGCACTAGCCTGCCATTCAGGAGGGAGTTACAAAAGCTTGCATCATGATGCACAATCTTGGTTCCCATGGAATTTGTTGGCTGTAAAGTGTTTGAAACCCCTGGACATGCTCTTGATAAGCTACTTTTCATAACAAAAAAAGCAAAGTAAATACATGCTTAGACTATACCTTGCGCTTGATGTTTTCCAGTAAATGTGCCTTCCCTTGCTTGAAGAAAGGGTGCTGGAACTCAATGACTGAGCTTTTCTCTGCTGTAATCATACCATTCTCCAGAGCAATCACCTTCCTGAAACCATCTGTGGAGAGGTATTAACAAAGTCATTTCTTTCAGTGCAAAGCTGACTGTTACAACACATAGCTAAAGAAAACCCCAAGGCTACTGAAATGCCTACAGCACTACAGTTACTGGGAGCAGAAACTATGAAAAACAGCCAAAGCAGCTTTTCTTTGGTGGTCAATGATTTGACTGCTGCGATCTTCACAGCTAGAGAACACGTCCACAATACCATCACATGACCTTGCAGGCTGTACAACCAGCATGCATGGCAGATGCCAGCTACTGTCCACAAGCAAGACAGTGATGTCCAAATAATCACAAAAGTTAAACAGAAATGAGATTTATTAGGACATCTTGAATAAAATCTTGCCCCGGCAGAAGCAGCAGAACGGTGCACCTTCCCTTTCATGCCTATAATCCCAGACAAACACATATCAAAACAAATGCTGTCTTGTACCACCAGGGTCTACAGAATAAAGTAAGGAAGAGAAATTAGTTCTCAGCCTATGCAAGCACATGCACGCAGAGTACTTTCTCCATACCAGACTGCCTGTGTGAAATAAGACATTGCCAGCTCTATTTCCATCTGCCTCAAGTACCGCAGGGTAGATGTGAAATACAGTTGACAGACCAATCCATGTCTCACCTTGGCCAAGTTTTTAACATAGTTAATGTATTCCAGTTTCATTGTGCCCCAACAGCGCTATCATTAGAAAACTTTACTCGAAGCTAGCATAGGTCCAGCAGGAAAAGGAAGCTGCTATCACATTGCACGTCTTCATAGGAATATTTGCATTTTAGCATTTACCCTTGCTACAAGGTAATTGACAATTGTTTACTTGCATTATCCTTTGACACGCAAGTGATGGGAGTCCCAACCAACACTTGACACGAACAGCAGCATCCACCCTGTGTCAAGAGGCTAAATGTACGCTTTCTCTCTCATGTCTGACAAAATCTAAATAGGCATAGGCTAGAGAGACCAGGCAAACCTATTGGACAAGGACAGAGAGTTCCTTCCTCTTACTCTGAATGGAAATTCTAAATAAGGCAGCCATCTTCTATGCAGTTTGTACCCTCCCTCAGCCCATAAGCTGTCTGCTGCAAAACAACTATTTCTGCTGTGCGTTGCAGCCCTGCACGTTGTACCATACCTTTGAATTACAACTTCATTCCAGCTTCTTTCCCTGTACAAGTTGTACATGTGTTATATAATGGATGCTACATGATGCTCACAAGTCGAGCACAGGAAACATAATGAGAAACTTAGTCCAGCTCGATCCATCAGTGTGACTAATCTTGTTTCAACAAAGCAATGCAGGCAACAGCATAATCTAGGCAATTTTTTTCATATACTAGCTGCATGGGTGTAGGTACAGCCTTTGTTCCTCTAGGTATACATAAATTTGCTGTTACCATTACCATTAACACTACCACTGGAGCCCAGTGAACTCTACCCAAGCTTTAGGTACCAGCACATGAAACAATATTTTTACGGTTGTTGATCAAAAGGTCTCAGAGTTGAAACAGAAAATAAAGACTAAGCCAAACTCTCCTGTTATCTTTTCCTTTTGCAAAGCAAACTCAAGACCAGAATTCAGGTTTTCACGGATGAAAGACCTGCCAAGTCAATTGGTTTGTTTAAAGACATTCAAATCGATACCAAGCAGCAATGAAATTGGCAGAAAGGATATATGAGAACAGCTGATGCTTACACATGTTAAGCTGTCGTATGAAGCTAGAGATATTGTTGTGTTTGAAGTACTTGGGGAGTAGCTCCTTGGCAAACCTCTGCTCATCCAGAATGCAGAAGTTCTCGCCATTCTAGGAAATAAGCAGAAGCAACAGTTAGAGAACAAGCACAATTTTTCTAAGGTGTTGCTCGTAAGCCAAGACCATAAATCAACAGAGACAGTTCCTACAACAGGGAAGGGCAAAACACTTAGTAGAGGGAATTGCCTGTGTGAGCACTTCTGAGTACTTGGTACTGTAGCAAAAAATTTGAGTCCAAAAAGACAGTTACATGGAATACTTCTATTGAACGGGAGATTTTTTTTAAAGCCCTGAAGTTTTGACCTTAACCCAAAGAAAAATTTTTCTAAAAACCCGTGTATCTGCTGCTCTCTTCGTCCACAAGACACGTAAATATTGCTCAAGTGCAATGTAATTCATGTCACTAGAGGGCTTCTATCTCCCTTGATCGGAGCTGCCCAGTTCCTGACGAGATTCTTCCATTGTATATACTATGTCACCACTAAAAATAACCAAGTAATGTTGCAGAGTTACTAAAAGTTCAGGCGACACAACCCAGCGGTAAAAAAGGGTAACTGTGACACAAGCAGTTTCGGATTTAGCATAGTCTCAGGTTCAAACTTCCCGAAAGCAGGCAGGTCTTGGTATCGTTTTTATGAACAAAAATACTATGTTTCTTTCCATCTTTTCCTTTGTAAAGGCCAAACCCCTGAAAAAAAGGGGAGAAAATCTAAAAACGCTCTAAAAACGATGGGGGACAACACTGAGCACTGCGCTTGTGTCCGAGGCCTCACTGGCCAGCAGTGTTTGCGGTGTCCTGTGCCAGCGAGGCCTGTCCTCCCGATCTCGGGAAGGAAAAAACGACAAGGACGGTACTTCTGGAAGTGCCTTTTCCACCGCTTTGCGCTCACTGCGCCCACCGTCAGGCTGCGATGCTCGGCTCCGCCGGGCCAGCTCACGCCAGAGCGTCGTGCGTGGCCACCGGGCAGGCAGCGGGGGCACCGGGACACCCCCCCCCTCCGCCGCAGAGTCTCTTCTACGCGTCC